GATAGGGAGCAAGTATGGACCGTCCAAGAATTATTGAAACCGAAGCAGGGCGAATATGGAGACTTCATTAGAGTCCGAGTGGGTATGGAGGTTACATAGAAATTGGTCAGAGGAATACACGTGAAGGATTCGGACGGCAATCGCCACTGGGTCTCAGTCACATATGAAAGGCTCCCAATCTTTTGCTTTCTCTGTGGGATTATCGGACACAGTGAGCCTCGCTGCCCAACTCGCTATGAAGATGACTTTACAGATCCATGTGAAAATTTCCCTTATGGTGCCTGGCTTAAGGCACCCACCAACCGGGATGAGAAGAGGACGGGACTTCCTTTACAAGCCATCTCCTCATTGCGGGGATTGAATTCTGATTCCTGGAACAAAAATCCGACTCGAGGTACTCCTATCTTCGATGTAACAGCCCTAAACACGAACTCCCAGGGGATAGGACAAACATCGGGTAAAGAGAACCAGTCTGTAACGTCCCTTGACGACTAACGATTGTTTAACCACAAGATTACTACACTGGCCGAGAATTCTAATACTGAGATGGAAAGGAAATTTCTGAAAGTCTCTAACAAAGGAAGGAAGAAGAAGACAGATGAGTTGATGGTGCTTGATACGGAACCCACACCGAAACGTGCACATCTTCGTCTCTTGGACGAGGACATTTCTCCAACGGCGGACGCTGCGGGGCTGCCCTGCTGAGAGACATGAGTTGCCTCTTCTGGAAGTGTCAAGGGTTGGGGGGTCCCTTGACAATTCACGAAATCGGAGCGATGCTTCAAAAATTTCACCCCTCACTGGTGTTTATTTCGGAAACGAAGTCAACACCTCGGTTCGTGAATATTTTAAAATGGCGTTGGAATTATGATGGAATTTGTGTTAATCGAGAAGGTTTGTTCGGCGGTCCAGCTCTTCTCAAAAAAAGTATATGAATGTTACGCTCCTATCATTCTCTAAGATCCATATCGATGTGGTGGTTGAGAGTTCGGAAAAAGAGGTTAAGTGGCGCTGCACGGGATTTTATGGATTCCTAGAAACTCAGTGGCGGCGGGACTCATGGACCCTCCTACGCCAACTCCGTGATCTCTCCCCTCTACCATGGCTCGTCGGTGGTGATTATAACGAGATTATGTGCAACTCAGAAAAGGAGGGTGGACTTCCTCGACTCCCTTACCAAATTGAAGAATTTCGCAGATGTCTGATTGATTGTGACCTCAGCGATCTTGGTTTTGAGGGGCCAGGGGCCGGTGTATACGTGGTGCAATAACAGGGAGGTGCCCAACACGATTAGAAGTAGGATTGATCGGTTTTGTGCTAACGGGTAATGGTCGGCGCTCTTCCCTTCGGCTAAAGTACAACATCTCACGGCAGCAGGGTCGGATCATTGCCCCATAATGCTCACTCTCTGCCCGACCTCGAATTATCAACGACGAGGACATCGTAAACCTTTCCGTTTCGAATCTATGTGGCTCCGGCGAGATGATTGTGAAGAAGTTATTAAGAACGTGTGGGACTCTTCCCACTTAGCCGATCCGATGGAGGATTTACTCATGAAAACGGCCGAGTGCCGTGTTGCCGTGCTTCATTGGAGCAAAATAAATGATTGTGCCCCGCACAAACAGATTGACGAGTTAGGAAATAAGATCCAGGAGTTAAAAAGGGGGGTCCAGACTTTGGAGACAAAATAGATGATCATTTCTCTTAAAAAAGAACTTGAGAAGGTATATGGAGACCAAAATGAGTATTGGCAGCAATGAAGTCGAGTGCAATGGATTCAAGAAGGAGATAGAAACACCAATTTTTTTCACTCACGAGCCTCTCCTAGGAAAAAAATTAATCGTGTGGAGCGGTTGAAAGATGACTCGGGGATTTGGCAAGACGGGGATCAGGCCATCGAGGGGATTATTTCCAACTATTTCGCTCACATTTTTCAGTCTACGGAGCCAGATGAGAGTGACATTGATGGGGTGCTCGAACCGAGGATTACTCCAACAGCAGCTCAGTACTATCCATTCATTCTCGATCTGACAGGCTAGTATCGAAAAACAAAAAACATTGCTTAAAT